TACCTCATGCTTACAAATGCATAAGAATAAAAATAGTTATTAGAATCTACCTACTTTATTCATCCAATTTATCCTTTCTTGGTTTCTTTGCTTTGCCTCGAGCATCTTTTATCTCAGTAAATATTAGACTCCATTGACTTTAATTATATTTCTTAGTTTTTATTATAAAAAGATGCTGATATTAATAAACAAATTCACATAGAGGGATACGTCAGTTCATGACGTATGTAGGGAACATTCCCCATTCCTGCTTCTTTCCTTCTCTTTTCTTCCCCAAACAGTCCCATACAATTCTGGTATATCCTTCTAGAATTTTTCAATATATAGTAACTATAAACTTAAAAAATAGGATAATATTAATGATCCTTTCTTTCTTTTTTTTTTATCCTCACCTGAGGACATTTTTCCATTTTTTGTTCAGGTAGAGTGGGAGGGAGAGAGAGGACCAGAGAGAGAGAGAGACATTGACGTGAAAGGGACACATCGAGTGGCTGCCACCCGCACGACCAACTGGGGCCAGGAACAAACTGCAACCGAGGTACATGCCCTTAGTGGGAACCAAACCTGGGTCTCTCGGGACCGCAGGCTGATGCTCTAACCGCTGAACCAAACTGGCCAGGGCATGATCCTATATTTCTCTTAGTAAAGCTTTCTATTGAATTTTTAGTTTTGTAAGGTATTTCATAATGATTTTTTTTAAAATGAGTATATTTAATCGGGTTTTCAAGGTGATTGAGTAAATTGCTTGTTTGATGAAGGTCTATTTTAAATCCATGAACTCTGTGTTACCATCTAAGGCAAAATGCCAGTATTATTCCTTCCATATTTCCCCTAGACGAGATGTTATAATGATAGAATCAAAACAAATCAGTACTCTATATGTAAGTTTATGCTAAAGGCATGAACTTAAAATGAATCACTAAGGTCAGTAATATCTCTGCAGGTAGATCTTAATCTTTATGATTCACATCTGGGATGAATTACATGATGTGAAGTAAACTGATAAACATCACCTTTTCAGAACTGTCTGTCCTTCAGAGCAGTCCTACTTCGACTTCATTTAAGAATTTGGTGCTCAGGTTGTTTGCAGTCTCTCAGCCCAATATTGACTTGTCTTCAATATTGTTCATGATGGCTATGTTTTATTGCACCTTTATATGAAGTCTACTCACAGGTACTTTGGACCAAGTTGGCCATTAAGTTAAACTTTAGGTTTGTTGGTGAAACAGACAACTTGTTGTATCCTATTGTTTTTACTGTTGCACTCTAGGGACATCCTTCTAGAAAGAGGAGCAGTTCAGATTGGCCTCCACGCCTGATACTTTCCCCCTTAACCTTGGTGCTTCTGTTCTGTAGCACAATAGGAGGAATTTTGGGCTGGTTGTAAGTGGCCTGTATTGGAGGCCTCAGGTATTTGACCCAATTAATCCATTTAAGTACCTAAGTAGTTTCTCATCTATAAACGGGGGATAGTAATAGTAATGCGCTATTAAGATTATTCTGAGTGTCAAAGGAGCTAATCCTTTGGTGAAGGAGGCACTGTTCAGCACCCTCAGTGCCCAACAGTCAGGAGTATGTATTGGTAGAATGGGCAAGACTTTGGCTAGGACTACAAATTGCCATTAGGTGGAAGGGGTGGGTAGGGGGTGTGTGACAATGTGACTTTTGAAAATGGGACAGGGCAGGTCAGGAATGATCACTGGGCCGTTGGGTAAGCTCACTTCTGGCCCAGGCTGTGTGTTGGACTCAGAGAGGGTACAGGTCTGTAGTAATTCTGAGGCACACTGAGGAATGTCTGTAAACCTACGATGCCCTCAGAAACAATGCTATGGAACATTTCTCTCTGAAAAATAAGTTAAGTTTCTAAACTTGTTGAGTCTCGTTTGAATGTGGCTGTGGCCCACACATTTTCATCTGTAACTTGCCCAACCTTGTCCATTGGTTTCGATGATATGACTCATCAGAATGATTTGTTAAAGAGCAGCAATTTGGTAAACTTATATTCTAAAAATCTGTTTTTCTCTCCCTCCAAAAGCAAGTAAAACTTGTGGCTAAATGTAAATTCAAAAATCAAATAGGTGTTTGAGTATCTGTTACTTGCTAATTATAATAAGGAATGTAAAGGAAAATATGTCCTTTTATTTAGTTAGTTGAAGAGTCTATTAATATTAACAAAGGACAAATAAACTTGGTTAAGTGTTTAATGCTTCAGTGTAGATGATGAGGGAAGACATTATCAGCATTTATTTACTCTTGCCTTTAAAACAAATTTTAATAGCTTTATTACCATCATCATTATAATTCTACATTTATTTTTTTCCAGCTTGATTGAGGTATAATTGGCAAATAAAGTTGTAAGCTATGTAAAGTGTACATTGTGGTGATTGTATGTATATATACATTATGAAAGGGTTCCCACCATCACATTAATTAATGCATCCACCTCACATATTTATCTTTTTGTGTGTGTGAGAACTGCTCTCTTAGCAGGTTTCAGTTATATAATACAATGTTATCAACTATAGTCCTCATGTTTTACATCAGCGCCTCAGACATTACTCAGTTGACAGCGGAAAGTTTGTACCCTTTACCAACCTCTCCTTTTTCCTCCACCTTACTCTTGGCCTGGAAAGAAAAATTAGTTCAGAAGCCTTTATTAGCTATCGCTCCGCGCCCTGCACCTTGCTAGGCCCTGAGGCACAGAAGGGAGTGAGGTGCTCTTCCTGTGCCCAGGGACTGCAGACCTAGTCCAGGGACCTGTCAGAACAGAGGCTGTGGTAGAAGCAAGTACGTGTCAGTGTGGGCGTAAAGGGAGGTGTGGTCCACTGCACACAGGGGAGGGCCTCCTGGGAGGAAAGGCTTTATTTACAAGGAGGGCCCGTTTCTTAACAGTGCTTCTCATACTTACTGTGTGTTTGAATCACCTGGGATCCGAGGTGGGGCTGCCAGGGAGTGGAATGATTTACAAGGACCAGCGGTTGACTTTGTAGCCACTGGATGAGGTACAAGACTAGATGGAAAGGCGGCCATTTCATTCACAAAGATGGTCATAAGCAGAAGAATAGAGTCACATGGCCCAGAGGGGTAAAAATGAGGTGTGTGTAGAGGGAAGGAGGCATGGCAAAGCATAAGGGGGAAGAAGTTGATAGGAATCAACCCTATGACTGCCTTTAAAATTAAATAGTCGTGGAGAGGATTGAGAAGAATGTCCTGTTAGATAATGGGGAAATGGAGGCTTTAGATTGGGTTATGACTTTAGTTTTCATGAAAGTTTAGGAAATCCACATGATGGGGTTGGGAGGGATAGAAGGACAGGACGTACAGTGTCTAATACAGTTATTTAGGCAAAATTTAAGGGGCTTAGTAAGAATTTGTAGGACTTGCATTGAAAGGAAGAAGACCTCTGTGAAAAGAAACAATATTCCTAGTGAGTGAGAATGGCAGCATCCTGGGGTCAGAGAGCCAAGTAGATTGGTTGGAGCGGAATGCATGCCCATGGAAAAGAGTAGCACAGGGGTGAGGCTGGAGACAGGCAGAACTTTAACCAAGTAAGATTTGTAAGCTCCTTTTTCTCTATTACGATGTGATTTTTGTAGGTGAAATCACGGGGACAAAGCACTGAGCATGACTTTCCAGACAGATTACTCAGTTATGGCACCCTCAGGAATATACAACATTATCTGTCTTTTCCATTCCTGACCTCCTTCGGTTAAGTGATACTTTTAGCATTGAGAGACTTGGTGCTAGATTATGTGGTAATTTGAGATGGGGGTGGGGTGGGGGCTAGATTCAAATGAGCATAAGCAGGTAGGAAGTTTTCTAATTGTCCAAAGGGAAACATTCAGCAAGGAATTGAAAATGTGAGTGGCATGGGGATTTTAGAAGGAGGATGGAGCTGCAGGTGAGAATCTGGGGCTCATCCATGCAGGGCGCGGTTAGAGTAAAGTGAACGGAATGGACTCTGCAGGAGTGATGGGGGTGAAGAAGGCCGTGAGCAAAGGCTTGAGTCTGGGAAGTGTCCACATTCAGGCAGCCAGTGTGAGAGTGATTTCAAAGATGCCAGCAAAAATGAAGCATATATATTTTGTTGATAAGTGGAAACACTTATGCTGCAAGAAAGAGTTAGAAATTTGAGCAGAGGTCATTTAAGTTTGGCAAATAGGAGTAAAGAGAAAAGTTAAGAGGAAAAAATACTGCTAATAATATAGCACCACCTGGTGTTAGACATTAGGTATTTTTTAAGTGAATTTTTTTTTTTTTCCTCATCAAATTAAATTTTTTTTTTTTATCCTCACTCGAGGACATTTTTCCATTTTCGGTTCAGATAGAGTGGGAGGGAGAGAGAGGAAGAGAGAGAGAGAGAGAAAAACATCGACGTGAAAGGGACACATCGAGTGGCTGCCACCCGCACGACCAACCAGGGCCGGGGACAAACTGCAACCAAGGTACACGCCCTTACAGAAACCGAACCCGGGTCTCTCTGGACCTCAGGCCAACGCTCTAACCGCTGAGCCAAACCGGCCAGGGCTCATCAAATTAACCCCCGCCTTTCCTATTTGGTTGTTTTAACATTTTTGCCTATTTTTAATATGGTAGCCTAGTGTGTGAATGGGCTCATTTGTGTAATTTTCAATCAAGAGTATGGGTGGGGGGGGACACATCATATCAATTTGTTTACTCTTTGATTTCAATTTTGCTGAAAGCTTCTACCTCACATGGCCCTGAGCTATCACTATATTACAGAAGACAGGCGTTAACTACTGGAGGGTGCGTGGTTACAGGCAACCTGCTTGCCTCACGTCATCTCTGCTCTTTGGCTTCTAACATCAAAAAAAAATAAAGAAGTCTAGGTGAAGACGTCATCTGAAGTTATATGCTTATGAATATTCATTTTGTGTTTTCACTCAGTTGTTAGTGCAGGAGTTTGAGTTTATAAGCTTAAGGCTTTTGGAATGAATAGCAGTAGAAACTCTTTTTTTTTTTTTTTCCTAACCTTCAAGGAAAACCTACATCTTTGAAAACCGCACAGCCATCTTGGGTGAATTTGCCTAGACCACTTCCTAAATCCAACGCGGCCCTGAAAAGTTCTGCAGTCCGGAGAACAGGAAGCCCCTCTCCGTCCGCCGGCACCCTCGCTGATCTGAACACTCACAGCAGCAACTGTGAGTTGGTCGTATGTCACCCTTTGGGAGTTGTTGAAACTGTAGTTATACGGAAAACTAGTGCACTGAAAATAATTAACAGAAATTTTTACTCTGATTTAGGGGGACATAGGCATATTGCTGCTTCCTCTCCCTCCTTTTTTTGTTTTTCTTTAGCTTTATACTCTGAAAGTTTGGCAGGAAAAATATTCTTTCAATGACATTCTCTTTTGAGGAATGTTCTATGAAACACTGAAATATTTGTGATGAAGAGACCTGGGCTTTTTTTGTTGTTGTTTGTTTTTTCATGAAGGATTCTAAAGTGTGTCATTTGAAGTGATAGTTATTTTTTATTCATTTAAGGAAAGAAAACAACCTAGGGGCCATTGGACCCCAAGTGAAAATCATAAAAAAGATAACTTCAGTTCCATTTATTTTGTAAAAGACCCAATTTTATAGATGTGTGTTCTGTAATCTTTGGACACTGGGTTCCGTGTACTATGACTAGTATATTATAACTTCAAGCCTAATTTTAAACTCAGCAGAATATTTTTGAAGTTGTTAGTTAATGTGAATTCTATTTTCTTTGTATAAAATGGGTGAATTAATTGAGCTCTTCTTTTCATTGAAAAGATGAATTAGGCCCTGGCCAGTTTTTCTCAGTGGTTAGAGCGTCAGCCTGCGGTCCAGAGAGGCCTGGGTTCGGTTCCCGCTAAGGGCACGTACCTCGGTTGCAGTTTATCCCTGGCCCTGGTTGGGTCGTGCGGGTGGCAACCACTCAATGTGTCCCTTTCACGTCGATGTTTCTCTCTCTCTCCCTCCCACTCTATCTGAACAAAATATCAAAAATGTCCTCGGGTGAGGATAGAAAAAGAAAAAAAGATGAATTTGAACAATTTTGGAGTGCCTGCTCAGTACAGCACCACGAGAGATGCCGTGAGAGATACAGGTTGCAAAAGAAATGGTCCCTACCTAAAAGGTAGTTGAGAAGAAAGGTATTTACATAGATAACTAGAATACCAGATAAAATCAGATATAAGGGTGAGGTGGGGAGGAGGGGAATTCTCTCTGCTTTAAGGAGGGTGGGTTTCTTCTTTCTAGAGAGGGGACAGGGACAAAGCGGAGTCATGGTTCTTGAATCTTTTGGGTGTGGAGTGCTGTTACAGGGTCACCATACATTGTTTCTTTTTTTCCCCTCTCAAATACCTTCTGTGCCTGCTTTCATATGTAAGGTAATCCAGGCTCAGAGAGGTTGTCACTGGCCCAAGGACACTCAGCCAGTGTGGGATCAGAATGGAGAATGAATCAATGAGCGCATTTCTGAGAGCTCACATAGCAGCAGTAGCCGGTCTCCTGTCAGTGAGGGGCTGTGTGCAGAACTTGAGGAATGCCGGAACGTGTTACTTAAAATGAGAAAGGACCGTCATCTGCTTATTGTTTAGGTTTTGACGTTGTGGCATGAAATGGGAGGGGTTTGAGGGGACAGATATTATGGATTTGGATCGGTGTTCTGCACGTGTGTTATTCTGAGGGCATGTCACTTGCAGCTCTCTGTGTGCAGTGGGAATTTTCAAAACAAGCAGCATCAGCAGCGTGCTCCCCGAGGACCCTGCCGCAGCGGAATGTGTGACACGTTCCGTCGTGTCGCCACCCAGCCTTTTCCATTGACAGCCATGTTGACTTGGCCACCGTTTCAGTGCCGTGGCTGAGACTCCTAAGGAGGTTGTGAAATGCTTTTGTCTGTTCCTTTTTGTCTTGCAACAAAGGGGTTTACCCTGTTCCCACAGAGCCTGTCTAGTGGCGATGTGTCCCTGCCGAAGATGAAGCATTCAGATCAATGAGTCTCTCTCTCAGTTTGATTTGCTAGCCGGTCTGATCTGTTCTGTGTGGTGCCTTGGAGCTTACGGATTTTCCCTCCGTTCCAGTTCACTGAGAGCAAGCATGAAGGAGGTGGGAGTGAGCATGGCCGCAGCCTTTCCTGCTTGAGCTTGCTCCGATCCTTTTAAATGACTGTACCAGGAGGGTTTCGCAGTTGTACAGAAACGGATATTTCTTCAAACATATTTATCAATTCTACACTCACCCCACCGGCTGGTTCAGAGAGGCACTATGATGCTACTTTACTGACACTGCTGGTCCTGGGATCCTACAGCCTTTGTGTAGCTCCTTTGTTAGCCACGTTCACTGGGAACAGAAGTACGTCGGATTTCTGGTTTGATTCTTTCCTTTGTAAGCATGCTCTTAATTTTTTATTCAGTGCATCGATTTAGCATCTCTTGATTGCTGTTTTTGTGACTTGTAATTTATGTTCTTTGCGTGTTTCTCGGACATAGTTTAAGTTGTCAGTGATTCTGTACAGAACCAATTTTGTTGTATATTTTATGTGTTTCAGAACTCAGTCTAATTCAGCAGCATTGGTGATGTTCTTGGCACATGAAATTACTTCATTATCAAAGATTATTTGGTGGTCTGGTTTCTGATTAAATAGCTGGTAGTTTCGTTGTACGAGGATAGAAAAACAGTTTCCTGTAATTAAAATGAAAACATCCCATCTCTGATAATTTTACTCATTATATCCAAAAACATTGAAGATGCGTGCTTTTTAAAGATTACCTTAAAACATGAGAAATCACTTTGAGCTGAAATTGCCCTATTTCTGATCGTTGTGGGTCAAGTTAGGAAATAATCTTTTGATCAGTGTTTTAGTTCATATTGGATCGAGCACGTGAACCCCTTTTAAGGACGCTTTCTTGCTTTGTCCGCTCATTGCTTTGTGGGGTGACAATGATAGTAGCGTCCTGTAGGAACTTCTGATATTGCACAGTGCTGTGGAAACTGGCGTCTGGTTCTCAGCACTTGGAGATCCTGCAGAGGTGACACTACAAGTTTTAAGGAGAATCAAGGTATATAAGACAATACATCTCTGTTATTTGGGGGTTTCAGCTGATTTTTTGTGTTCTTTTAAGCATAGAAAAATGTAAAGGTATTGACTTCTCTTTTGTGTGTAAGCATGAAACATTGCACAGTTGCTTCTAGGTAAAATGTGCTCATTTATTGAGGTTAAATATTATAAGCTCTTCCAGAAGAAGATAGCTCAAGTCCAGTTATTAAGACGATTGGATAAAAATAAATTATGCTGTCCGGCCGGTGTGGCTCAGTGGTTGAGCTTTGACCCATGCACCAAGAGGTCACCTTTTGATTCCCAGTCAGGGCACAGGCCCAGATTGTGGGCCTGATCCCCAGTGGGGGGGCCGTGCAGGAGGCAGCTAGTCGATGTTCTCTCTCATCCATGTTTCTGTCTCTCTCTTCCTCTTCATTCTTCTCTCTCTACAAATCAATAAAGAAAAATTAAATTAATTAATTATGCTTTGTAGGTCTTGAGTAGAGTTCATGGTGTGAGGACCACTGTGCTGATGCAGAAGGAAGTCTTTGGAGAGTGTATAATTCCACCACCTTAGCAAATGTGAAGTCCAGGGGCTTCCCTCTCCTTCCGTTTTGGCCACAAAAACGTGTTTATTTTTGAGACAGACGGAGAGAGGAAACGGAAGAGACGCACGCCGGAGCTATTCGCATTCTCCTGGAAGTTGGAGAACAGGTGGAGGCTGACTGAAGGAATGGAACCTTCTTTTCCTTCCCCTTCACGGCCAGCCCTGGCACAGACGGCGTGATGCTTGGAAAAGGTTTATTCAACCCAGACTCGGCCTAGTTTTCATGTGAACTCATGAGGCTGGACCATCGTTCACTCTCCTGGCCCGGGGGTTCTCACCTGAGGGATGGGAGGGGAGGACTAGACACTTGTGTTTTCTTCATTCCCGTGAGATGGTGCCTGGTCGTTTGGAAGGAGGTGCTTGGGTTGTAGAGGTGATGAAGCCGACAGGGAGAAGCGGGAGCCTTGTTTACCCTCATCTCTTCCTCGCTGCAGGATGGCCAGTGGGTCTCACCTGCCTGCACTGGTCCCTGGGTGGGAGTCACCTGGAGTCCAGTGTGCACAACTTTTCAGGCTGCTCCTAGGTTCAGAGCAAAAGTCTGTGTTTGACTAGTGATGTCTGCCAAGGGTGAGGACGGGAGGACAGACAGGCCATGTGTACGCTGGTCCTGTAGTACAAATGTGCTCATTGCCTGTGCGTGTCTAAATGGACTGTTTAATAAGATACAATTATCCAGATTGGTATTAATTTTGTTTTCATTCTTTCAGTGCTTTTCCAGGGTTTATGTGAGACATTGTTGTGATCACGGAGTTGAGTAATTTTGCTTTTGGAATTGGAAAGCTTAGATTTCAGTAGTGATTTGATTTCAAGCCAGGTGAGCAGATGGACTGGCACAGCGGGAGCGTTAAGCTGATCCCCACAAAAATTCAAGAAATGAGCAGAATGTTGGCTCTGTGTGTGTACATGCTTTAATAAACAGAACAAGCACTAATGCTAACTAGATGCTAAGATATCGCAGGAAATGTTAGTTTGCAAATAGAAGTCTGGAGCTCTGAGAAGCCCTTCTCTGGTGGAAAGTCATTGCTTCTGCTTCGGCTTCTCTGAGAATCTCTCTTCATTTTCTCTTTAGGCTCAGTCCCCTCCCTCCCTCTCCTTTCTTCCTCCCTCCCTTTTTCACCTGAACTACATTTTGACCATGAGGAAATTAAAACTAAGGACTCCAGGGAATCTATAATTCGAGCGAACTGAGACAGCTAGGACCAAGGGTGGAAACGACAGGACAGATGTAAACTGCGTGTGAGCTGGCCGAGACCTAGGTGGGCACACGTGCAGCTTCGCACGTCCATTCTACAGACCAGCTGTGAGTTCTTGGGGCCCATGGAACACTGTGCTTAGGGGAATCTGAGGAGGGGTCTGGTCTCAGTGGGATTGGCCCCATAATCAGTTAGTGGGGGTCCATGGCAGCTTAGGGACTGTCTGTTTCCATACCTGATAGTCAGTCCCACTCACTGCACATAAAGGGGTGAAGTGATTCAGTACAGCAGGTAGTGGCCAAGTCAGGACCAGAACTCGCTTATTAAAGATTCCCCCATG